TAATTTTATCTTGAGACAGAGTCTCACTAAGTTACTGGGACTGACCTTGAAATTGCAGGCATGTACAACAGTACCTCCCCCAACCAAAAAAAAAATACTATAACTAAAAAAAAAAAATGAACACCTTTCATAATTTGTACTGAGCCAAGTAATTTATATATTTTATCCCATTTAATCTGTATATCATTTTTACTAGCTAAGTAGTAACATTATCCTCATTTTAAAGATTGAAAAACTTAATCATCATGAATTTAAGCAATTTGTTCAAATCATAGTAAGTGTCCACATACTGTCCTACTCTATATGACTTCTCCTATACATCCTCCCTGAGAACACGTTCTGCAATTGTGAGTTGACGATTTAGGGCTGCTGAGAAGCTAATCCATCCATCTCTGAAATTAGGTCGCAACTTTGGAATCGTGCCACCCAAGCTACGGAGTGGGTGTGATTATTGGATTACCACCCACAAATTCACAACTCATTTTTGACCCAACGCTGCTTCTCTCTGGGAGAACCCTGAAAGGTGGTGTTTTGGGAAGTGAGTATTTTACTTTCATTTTGCCTTTTCCAGAAACCTACACATCCTGTGTGCTCGTTGGCAAGCAGTGGAGGGGAAGGAACATAGGAAAAATAAACCTCTTTGAAAGGAAATAGAAGACAATGTACCAAAAATAGGAAAGTACACCTTCACCTCCCCACACTCGTATTTTTTTACCTAGAGAAGCAAATGAGATGAGCTTAACATCATTGATAAGATACAGAAGAGTCACTTCTTAGGGTGCTCATTGGCACCCTCACATTCTGTAATTGGTGGAGAGCTACAATATTTTTCTGAACCACTCCCCAGTACAGAATAAGACTAGAAGAAAATCTTGCTGTGTTGACCCTTAGTTCTCACCTCAACAATCACCCTAAGTGTCTTCTTCAGAACAAAACAGGCAACTCCAATGTGGAGTCATACTTGGATATCTCTTCTCTAAATGTCTCCAATTTCCCCTTGTACAAAACCATAGTTGGACTGTTTCTGCTCCCTTGAAATCTCACATAATGGAGTAAATTTGAATATATGAACCCTTGAGGGGCATATTAAAATCATATCTAAATCATATTATTATCCTTGATTCCATGGAGGAATTTATTCACTTTTTTCTGACATTCATATCCTCCATATCTCCTTCCCCCACACAATATATAAACACACTAAGGAAAATCACAAAAAATTTCTCATTCTGGATGCAAAAAATGTGTAATGGTCTTTTCCTTTTACTCACTTTCATTTGATAGATTTCTTAGTTACCAAAAATTTTGCATACCAATAATGTTATAACCCAACATTTTCGTCCAATTGACCTATTACTATGGTTTAGAAGTTAAATGTCCCTCAATGATCTATGGTAGAATGCAGGTGCTGTGGAGCTTTAAGAGGTGGGGCCTTCTGGGAGGTCTTTAGGTCTTTGGGGGCACATCCTCAAAAGAGACTCTGGTAGGACTCCATTCTCCGTCTCCCCTGTTTCCCACTCATGATGTAAGCAGTTTTATTCTAACTCATGTTCCCCATCTAGTGCAGTCCTAGAGGCCCAAAGTAATGTCCTGCCCCTCTCTAATCTTGAACTGAAACTTCCAGAAATATGATAACTTTAAASTTAATTATCTCAGGCATAGCATTGGGAACTGGTTAGTACACTTATTAAGAAACAGAAAATTTTTGTAGCATGAGTTCTGATAAAAAACATGCTGGCTATCTCTTTTTTTAAAAGAGTTCAAATTTTCTTTTTATTCCCATCTTCCCCCAAACCCACATTTTTTTATTGGTACATTATAATTGTATGTATTGGTGAGATTTTTTATTACATATTTGTATATACACACAATACAAAATATAACAATATAATTTGGCCAATATCACTCTCTAGCACTCTCTCTCTCCCTCCCTGCTTCCCACCCCTTGGTCTCTTTTCTCTACTGATGTCCCTTTGATTTGCATGAGCTCCAACCCCAACTTTATTTTCCTTTCTCTTCTCTAGCTTTCATATAAGAGAGGAAAGTTAAGGGTACCCTTACCCTTAACTTTCTGAATTTGATTTATTTAACCTTTTTTGGGGGGCACTGGATTGACTCAGGGGTGCTTAACCACTGAGCCATATCTCCTGCCTCTTTTTATA